TCTCTCGATCGCAGTTATCTAACGGTTGTCCAGATCCTTTTTTAAAAGAGTAATACTGTACATAACCTTCTCATTCCCCCTTTCTCTCTCTCTCTCTCTCTCTCTCTCTCTCTCTCTCTCTCTCTCTCTCTCTCTCTTTCTCTCTTCAACACTGTTTTGTCATTGCACTGTTGCGGCTTTTTTTTTGTAATAATATAGTTGAGGGTTGAGGTGGAGTTGATTTATGAAAGCACCGAGTGGTACAATTAGCGCCATACATCTTATCACCAAAACACTTTTAATGCTTTTTTATGACACTTTTTTACCAACATTTTCCACTCAAAATTCGGGTGAAGGATGGATGAATTATGCTTGTAGTATCAAATAATTCAAGTTTTATTTTCAACTTTAAAGTTTGTTTTCAAAATTCAAGTTTCTATGCGCACTTCGGTCAGGATTTCAAGTCTCCCATTCTGTCGCTTCAGGGTAGCTGTCATGGGAAACTTTTTGACGGAGCTAAAATCTCACCGAAGTAATTTTAGTTATTTTAATTGCTTTTGTTCAGCCAAACTTCGTAAGAGTTGCGCTTCTTGGTCGTGACATCAGATAAAGTCGCACAGCATGTGGAAAACAACTTGACACATCTCATCACAGCAAAAAATACGTTTCCTGGTCATGTCCTCACTGATTTAATGCAACTACATGCTTGTGAATGTGAGAACATCATAGGAACGTCCTCAAGCTTCATAAGAAATAAGGACGTTAAGCCCAAGGCCCTGTTTATAAGCTTGTCATTAAGAGTGTTTCTTCTTCCGCAAATAAGTTTGAGGTCTTGAGCATCGCTTGCCTGCGGGAGGTTTGCAAATGGTCATGTACCGATAATGCTGCCAAATCCTTTGCAGACCTCTCGCCGGCTCGACCTCTCACAGGGTTTCGAGAATCCTAGGGTTTTGAGTATCCGACTGTGACAGCATTAGTAACAACTGAAGTACGAAGCCAAAAGTTGAGAGAGAGGGAAATTTTAGAAGGGGCGGAGGTGGGGAAGGGGTTACTGCGTGATACGGGATTATGCCTTTTTAATTTTATGACCAGTAAAAATACGAAATTGAAACCCTGCTGATTGTGGAAGGATTCAAAAGTTCCTTTGTGCTGCCGCTAAGCGTCCCAATGAAACCACTGTCAAGAAAGAAATTTATTCGTACTCGGCCGCATGCGACGATGGCAGTTGTATCTTGCGAAGTAAGTGCTAAATTTAGTTGTTCCCAAGGTCCTCTCTCTTCCTCCCTTCATGATGAGAAGAGGCCTGGGTAACACAACTCAGCCGAGTTCAGGTGAACACTTGTACCGTTGTCTACCCCTTATTTGTAGGTATGTCCTCTGACGTAATGTGATACAGTGGTTAATCATATCCTGTGATCTATCGAGCAACGCACGGCTTGGGACTGGTTAAGAGACTCCGTTGTAGATCTGGTAATTTAGTGTTAACAACTGGGTTAAAAACGTAAATTAGCCACCGTAAAGAGTAAAAAAAGCTGACGTTTCGAGCGTTAGCCCTTCATCAATCGCTCTGACGAAGGACTAACGCTCGAAACGTCAGCTTTTTTACTCTTTACGGTGGCTAATTTACGTTTTCAACCCAGTTGTTAACACTAAATTACCTGCTTTACTCTCCCACCGATGCAGCACCACAGTTTCTTTAGAAACTTACCCCTTTATTCCGTTGTAGATCTGCCTTCAAGCAAAAGTGCTCATTCAAGGGGGTCGGCATAAGTGGAAAATTTGACCAGTATTTTCAACGGTAACAACGGATGAACAACCTGCTGATTTCAGGAAAAGTTGCTATCCGCTTGGTTATTGCGAACCAGATCATTGGCCTCTCTCACGCGCATTACTTCCCTTGAAGTTCTATCGTTTCTTCGTGAACGCCGTGTGATCGGATCGTTGTTATAACTTAAACGTGGAAGAACAACTTGCCGCGTAAATAGCAAAGCGATTTTCGACCAAACCATGCGTTATTGTTCACGCTTTATTTGCAGTCTTGCTTTATTTACTGTCATCTTTGCTCGACTTGCGACTCCAATGACAGCATTTTACCCACTAGCTAAGAGAAAAGTACAATGTGACGTCATATCACAATTGTTTTATTTTCTTTAATAGCTGAAGATCATAGATTATGGTTCGTCAACATAAAATTATATATTTCTGACGCTTTATCCTGATCTGCCGGAGGTGAGATCGAATGAGAAGTCATAGCTATCATTGAGGGGGGCATCGGGATTTTCAGTTTTCCAGTTTTGGCTAATTTTTTGATCGGTTTTTCGACTTTGGTGTTCATTGCGGTTTGCGGATTTCCGTTGTTTAGCATTTGGTTTTCGGTTTTCGCGAAAAATACTAACGGGTTTTCGGATTTGATATCCGATGCGGTTTTCGGTTTATTCTATTTGACCTATTTGGGTTTTTGGCAATTACGCGCCTCCACTGATCTCGAATAGCTGCTAAACGCAAATGTTATCTAGAGGAATGCGTGACAAACCAATTGAAATATCACAGGGATCCCTGGGTAACCTACGTGTAGCCGGGCCCTCCTCCTCCTCCAAGGTGGGGTGAGGAGAGGATGCGGCTACACGTAGGGTATGGCTAAGCACGGAGCGTTGCCAGAGTTTCTTTATCAACGCCACCTCGAAGTTGATGACCAAGTTACAGGCCACACGTGACTGACTGATTCAACATTCCAATAGAATCTCCAAACTTTCAGGTCTTAGTTCGCAAATGGTAATGCTTGATTAGGGATTTTCGATGAAACTTTCCAGAGCTATGGCTTTTTGCGGGTGCAAAATTGCAATCCTATTGAGGACTTTTGTGCAAACTTCCTTAATTTAACTAGGCTCCATTACCAGCTGCTGAGTCCGCAGAGACCACGCTCGAGGTCCTCGAAGGAGCAGCCGTCAATTTAAGCAGATACTAGAATATACGAATGCCAAGTCCATGGCATTCATAAATCCTGTAATGAAATTATTGTAGTTTACACTGTATGTTCCACATGTCACCACTGTATCGGATCGATCTGGGTTTTAACAGCTGGGATGTGAAAATGTATCGGTTTTGACAATTTTGTATGCAGTTTTCGGTTTTGATCGATTTTTTTTTTCGGTTTTGGATGATTTATTCTACGGTTTTGCGGTTTCTACTAGGCCCCAGTCGTTTATTCGGAATATGGCAAGTTTTAAGCTGTAACCCACTGAGCCCTCCGTTACAAAGGTTGAATTAGTAGACTATGATTTTATTGCGGTTCCGCTGATTTTAGCTGTTACAGCCAGCCGGCCGCATATTTTATACTGTCACAGAGCGCTCTGTTTTTATCCCACAGTGCGCTTCAAGCTGATCTGAAAGACAATGATCTTTGAAAACCAAATTCCACTCGTGAAACTTATGAACACATACATCACATGAAAGCTAGTGCGGTAGCCGTTCACGAATATACACCATCCCCTGAGGTATGCTCGCTTTCTATCCCATCTTTCAATTACCTTAACAAAAACCACCGACTGAGACACCAGGGTGACTAATCAGCAACGACGCTTCGTCGGTCTCTTTCGTCCTGGAACCTTCTCAGAGTCTATTGCATTTAAAGAAAATCAGTTCTCTCGTAATCGCAGAAGAATGGACTTCCATGTTGAAGGTTGGATGTCGCTGGTAAGGATATAACGCATGGGTTCCTAAACTATGGATTGTCAATATATACAATGTATTTGTTGTTGTATTTGTTGTTGTTGTTTTGTGTTCTTCTTTTCAGTGCTGTTTCTAAGTCATTGTAGGATATATTACACTTGTGGGTGGATTTGTCATAGTTTACCCCGTTTATGACAAATTCGCACAGTGATCAAATGGAAAATCGGAGTAAAGATGGCTACGGCAAGTAAGTGGGATACATTCATAGAATTTACCCCTTTTGAAATTCTCAAACTTTGAGCGAAGAAATCTTGACGATCTTCTTACACTTTTGTTGGTAAGTGACACGCAGAACGACACGATCGCAATGCACTTTGATTAGAAGAGATAAGACTGCATTCTATTGGTTATTGCAGGCCGTGAAATTAACTTTTTTTTCTGATAGCCACTTGGCTCCTAAATTCTTTAAAGTGGTAGCCAATTCAAAAAAAGTTGGTCGCCATTTTCAAAGTCAAACAAAATCTTTCTTTACGCTGTCAGCGTTCTAAATAGATCCTCCAAAATTAAGTTAGGGAAAAGATTTTAAATGTGCTACAAAGTGGACACTAGGATGGATGATATACAACGTTCAGGCTCATCTAAATCCAAGATGGCGTCTAGTTATCGATCGAGATGCATGTGCTACGTTTTGGAAACAAACCAAACGAGGAAGTTTGCCGCGGATTTATCTTTGCAAATCTTTTTAATTCACTATATCTCTTGGTAAGGTTATGATGAAACGTTCTAGTCGCCAAGTTGGCGACTAACTTTCAGGATTTCGTCGCCAAAGTGAAAAATTTAGGCGCATTGGCGCCTACAGTTATTATTCAGTGTAACGTAGGGCTGAAAAATAAACTAATAACAGCTCCGCTTTTAGGCTTGGCTAAATCTATATATTATATATTCCCATGAGGACATAACTACAACGGAAGACTTGAGGGCGACCCTAAAAGCCGGAACGGTGGAATAGTGGAACGGTGGAATGGTGGAACGGCGGAACGGCGGAATGGCGGAATGGCGGAATGGCGGAAAATGACCCCAAATCCTAAAGCATGGAACGGCGGAAAATGACCCCAAATCCTAAAGCACGAAACGGCGGAAAATGACCCCAGATCCTAGAAAACGGAACGGCGGAAAATGATCCCCCACTGTATTGGATTGGTTGGCTAGGGGAGCTTTCACCCATACCAAACGCCCTTGTGTGCTTCTTTTTCAACCGAAAAATGCTAATATTTTTTATAATCATTTTTAGGGTTGAGTCTGACGATGACGACTCTGAAACATTTGTGAACGGTTCTGAATCCCAGGATCACAGTGAAACTGCGTCTTTTTATCTTGGTGATAAACACATACCGGTTTATGCCTCAGAGATTAAGGAATTGTCAAACAGCGACATTGCATGGCTATTACTAGATCCTCCTGAAGATAAAGTCGCTTTGAAACCACCCGTAAAGTGTCAAGAAAACAAAATTTTCATCATTGATAAAAAATCGCCGTATTTTCGAAACCCAGACGACTGGAAAGCAGATGGCCTTGGAGTCTACAAAAACGATGGAACTCATGTTGTTACGTATTACGAGGACAAGAATCCTGAAATCCGCTGGATATCCAAAACAAAACCAGAAGATTGCAAACGCTCCACAGTTCTTCTCAAGAGAACGTACTGGACGCACGTACAACATCCTGATTTCCGCAGAAGAGCTTACGAAATACTCAGATATAGTGGGCACAGCTTTACGCCCGAGCGATTCGTACTTTTACAGTACAGTTTCAGCGGAAAACCTCATGCGATGACGACCAAACCACACGGCAATTCTAAGTCCGAGAAAGCTTTTACTCGCACCAAACCTGGAGTTTTGGAGAGCATCAAGGGAAAGGTGAAAGGTTCTGCTCCTCCTTCCAAAGTGTATGACGAAGTGTTTGAAGAGGCTGGGGGCCTACTCAAGGTTTGCAGTGTCTCAGATGTTCCCAGAAATAGAAAGCGAGTGGAGAACGCAAAATATAAGGGAAGGGAAGTTCGAAGTCAAGACGAGTTATACGACCTAACCCTCAAATCAAAAGAAGGGGGGGAAACGGGAAAAGTTTACATTCGACGCCTGCAAGTTGCACCTAGTCCGGCATGCGTTTTGGCTTCTGATAGGCAAGTTCAGGATGTTAAGCGGTTTTGTGCCAATACAACTGAAAATTTTTCAGTGCTCTCCATCGACACAACTTTCAACATTGGCGACTTCTATGTGACACCTACAACCTATAAGCATCTGCTGCTGGACGACAGGAGAACTGAAAACCCCCCTCTTTTACTTGGGCCAACACTAATACACACAAGAAAGGATAGCGACACCTTCAGCTACTTTGGAGCCACACTTACAGGACTTGAAAACGGCACTAGAAAAATACGATTTATAGGGTCAGACCGAGAAGATGCCGTTGAGAAGGGAATGAGTCCTTATCTTCCTGTTGCAACATGGCTTGCTTGCCAAACGTCACGTGGTAGAGGACTGTAAAAGGAAGCTTCGCTCGTTAGGAATCTCATCAGAGTACCTTACAGCTTTTCTACGTGACATATTTGGGTCTGATGCCAACCATGAAAAAGGGCTCATCGATTCTGAAGGATGCATGGACTTTGATGCTAAACTTGAGAGTTTGGAAAACGTGTGGAATTCAAGAGAAAAAACATCAAGGGGTACAGCACTCTCCGATTCAAGCAAAGCAGAATTCCACAAGTACTCTGTCGCACACGTTGCGGAAGACATGAAGAAGAAGATGATTTCCCCCCTTAGAAAACGTGCTGGCCTAGGGGAAGCCTTTTTTTACAACAACGCAGCAGAGTCCAAACATCAGCGGATAAAAGCACGAAAAGGGCAGATGTACGGGGAAAGAAAACTCGCCTGGACTGAAGTAGTTGACTTGCTAAAATCTATTTCTGAAGAGGAGGAAAGGAATTGCGAAAGGGCTATTGCGGATAAGGGTCCTTTCAAGATAAGGCAGCAATACAGTTCCAAGCTTCATGTTCCCTTCTCCACCTACATCGGGAAGTCGCACGCCCAAAAGGAGAAGATTAATAGGAGAGTTCATGAAATTTCAATGGAGGCATTTTTACAACTGGAAGAAGGCTCGATCAATAATGCAAAGGCTAAGAACAAGAATCTGACCAAATGCGCTTACAAGAACATGCCAAAGTCAGTCGGTAAGAACCTGGAGAAGCCGAACGGAAAAGAAAACGTAATCCCCAGTCCGAGCGTTCAACTAGCAAATACACAGAAAGAGTTCCTACCCCTCCGAAACCAACACTTAACACCAATACCTTCAAAGTTAAATGGCTCAAGAACTCGAGAGTTTACAGATGTTATGGGTGTCGGCAAAACATCCGTCCCAAACCCCAGAAAGGCGAAACGGAAGTTGTTCCTCCACCACCTTGGGACTTTGTTCTCGCACGACTGGAACTCCGGCTAATCTCTAATGGTGCTGGTGAGCTGAAGATGTCCATCAAGCCGGAACCAGTGCATTATCACCCAAAATTGTCCTGCGTTCGCAACGTCCACGGCAAAAAGTATTATCCTTCGGTGGAAGTAACGGATGCTGACAAGGAGGTGATGGATGATATTCATCTTCGGCATTTACGAAGCGAGTTCGGTCCATGAACAGTCTGCGCAATAGTGACTACGAGGCCATAATTGCCGTATTTTCTCGAATAAGCGCTCACCCCAAACGCCTTCATACTCAACTACAGCACAATCAGTGCAGGTTAATAATCTCCTATTAAGTGCCCCCCTCGATTAAGTTCTCTCCTTATAAGAGCCCCTTCTTTTAGCCAAAAATTTAGATGAGCGCTCGGGTGCTTATTCGAGGAAATGCAGTACTTTTCAAGCCCGCTCGGCTCAGTTTGGTTTATAATGATAGAAAAGTAATAGTATTTCAAATACCTCGGAGTTTGTGTTTTTATGTAAGCAATTGAAGAAAAAGTTTTCGCTTGAGTCGACCATTGTTTATGTTATAAGACGAAACCTGTGTGAACATGATTCGTAGACAGGTCCCGTTAATGTTAGTTATTGCTGAAATTATTTCCAGTTTTTTTTAAATCAACATCATTCTCACTTTTAAATTAAGCAACCGTGTAGCATATTTTGTCTAAAATTCACGCATTATTATTAGGGTTAGTTGGTGAAACCTGTGTTAAGATGACTGACATTGACAGGTCCCGTTAATATTAGATAATGGTATTCCTCGTTGATTTAAGCTCGATATATTTTCACTGATAATGTCGAAGTTTTAGTTGCTTAGGCCTAACCCTGAGATTGCGTTAACAAGAAGTAAGTCAACGCTAGTGATTGCATCACTGCATGTGGACAAAGTCAAACCCTGACAGGTCTAATGTCAATTTTACTCAAAAAAGAGAGGTTGATAAATTGGTTAATGGACATCCACAGCATGCTATTAAACATTATTACGAGCAAAGATATTTTTTTCCGGTATTGACTTTTGATTTTTATTTGGCTCTCTTGATCCTTTGGCCTTGCCTATAATTCCATCTTTTAGGCTTTGGGGTAATTTTCCGCCATGCCGTCTTTCTTTTGCTGCTAGCAAATGACTGGAAAAAATGGGGTCAAATCCAAGGGAAATTGGGTCTTGTTCGAGTAAGCGGGGGTTTCGAGTTCGTCGGGTTCGAGCACTTAATTTTAGTCACGCGCGTTATCGTCGTGGGGATAAATGAGCCAAGCGCTTGGTGTCTTTGTACAAAATTTGTGCAACATGCCCTGACATCCGTTCCGTGTTTTAGGATTTGGGGTCATTTTCCGCCGTTCCATGTTTTAGGATCTGAGGTCATTTTCCGCCGTTCCATGTTTTAGGATCTGAGGTCATTTTCCGCTGTTCCGTGTTTTAGGATTTGGGGTCATTTTCCGCCGTTCCGTGTTTTAGGATTTGGGGTCATTTTCCGCCGTTCCGTATTTTTGGATTTGGGGTCATTTTCCGCCATTCCGCCATTCCGCCATTCCGCCCGCCATTCCGCCATTCCACCGTTCCTGCTTTTAGGGTCGCCCTTCAGTGAAACCTTTTTTTGGGTAGACCTCGGCCTTGAGAGACCAGCAAGGGACTGGGTATGAGTTGAGTAGTGATAATGGCGGTCACGTCGGCTAATTGTAGTGCGTTAGTTGGTTACAAAGTTGGCGAAATATCCAAAGCATTACATTCAAGAACTGATAGTAAAACAAGAGCAGGTGACAAACTCAATTCCTTGTTCAGTTCAGCTAAAGTAATTCAACCTGAATTTGAGGCAATTGGTCCAAAGGTAAGAAATGCTACTAACTAACAACTAACTGCTATACGTCTGTTCAGGAGGGGATCATAGATGACGTTAAAATGTGACAAGAACAAAAAGCGACACACGAGAATGATCTGTTAGAGAACAGACGCATAGATGACCTTCTTATTAAGGAAATTTTCCTTTTTTATCAAATCAAAAATGCGTACTTAGTTTCAGCGAAAAATATGCATATAATTATAACGTAGGATTTGAAGTGATATTTAACAAATGGAATTCATGTTGTCATGCTTCTGATCAGTAATAGATCACAGATGATGTCAAATTGTGTTGAGAACGAAAAAGCATCAGAAAAAGCTGAGAGTGTCACTGATGATGTCTTCTAGGATCTGTTACTGCACAGAACCACGACATCATGGAATCTACTTATTTTTTGGATAAAAAAGAAATATTTTGTCAATGGTGAAATCATCTATGTGTATGTCCTTCAGAAATATGCTTCAGCTTATCAAATAAATAGCTCAAAGATACACAATTGTACAGATACTTTATGGTAAGAGGGGGAAGAGAAATTTGAGGATATTACATTGTATGTGAAGTACTTAGGCTGTAAATTAGCCAGTCATATTACTAGGCTGTTAGGCTTTAACAAGAATTTGATAATCATTTGTAAAATTTTGTTTCATGTTCTTCATTCAGACATGTAGAACACCTTCAAGGGATGCTCAGAATTTTAAGAGAAACTTTACAGATTGTGAAGAAATTGGAGATCTACATCAAGGTATTATGAGTTATGTTCAGGTTCAAGAGTGGCTATATAGGATTCTGTAAAGCAGGTCCTAAGCTATTCTCTCACCCATGATAAAAATTATGAGGGATGATAATACATATTGTGACAATGAGAACGACAAAGTTTTGGGACATAGTGGTATAAAGCAAGCATCTCCTGTTGGGTAAGTGTACTTTCCTAGCCTGTGAGTTATCATGGCTTAATCTCTTACAAAAATCACAAGAGCCAGCAACAAATGAAGCTATGTTTGAAATCATGCTCAAACTATGAGTGGGAAGAAATAGTATGTTTGTGGTTCTACCGTATTTCTTCACCTATAAGTCGACCTCGGCTATAAGCCGAGACCCTAAAAGTTAGTGACCTTCCAACAGACTTGTGTTGTCCAAAAGAAAAAGCAAAACCATTGGCTATAAGCCGAGAGTGAAATTCTTGATTGTAAGTGGTCATTTGAGTGAGCAAATCTCATGGAAAAAATTGGGAAATGGCTCAATGAACACAAAAGCTAATGAATGAAAATAAACACGAAAGAAAAGAAAGCAAATCAGTGAAGATGTAAATACTACTACACGACTGCAGAAACACAACAATACTCTCAGTTACTGTAACCTGACAAATGTTTCAATCAAGGATCTCCTTTTTCACTGTTATTTTTCTCATCATGCCAAAAGCACGCTGCTCTTCATATACTATGGCTTTCAAGATAAAAGTTATCGCAGAAGCTGAGGCTGTAGGAAACAGCACAGAAATTGCTTGAGATTATGGACTTAGCAAGTTAATGGTGTGACACTGGAGAAGAGACCAGGCGACTATTCTTTCTGGCAAACTTAAGATGTCTGCAAAATGTGCAAAAATGGGCCGTTTTGCTCCCAAGTGTCTCAAACTAGACGAACGAGCAACGGAGTGGTTTTCACAGCAGAGAGACCAAACATTTCATTTGTAATGTGAAATGAGATGAGTTTTTGCTGAGTTGAGTGAGATCGTCTTTCAATGCATGGGAAGCAAAGAATCTGATTGGTGGTCAGAAATACATTGTTGTCATGACAGTTTTAAGGCATGTCACCTAAAGAGCGCTGCAGTCACAGAATTTAGGGTCATTTTGCATTAACATTAAATTTGTACTTTTTTTGAATCCCAAACCCTCGGTTATAAGCCAAACCAACGTCTCTTGTGAAAAAATCTCCCAAACTTTTGTGTCAAATACTGAAAAAATCGCTTGGCTTATAGGTGAAGAAATCAGTAATTTTCCTCTGTTTAATTGGTTTTGGAAAATTATTATCTTACTAAGACAATAAATAACATAATAATATGCATTTTAAATGAAAGGTCCTGTCTAAGTTTAATTTTTTATTGTGCAATAAAAGGAAAGGAGTGTTAAATTTCCCAAAAATACAGGTTAAAAAAAATTGCAATTTTGCTTTAAAGAATTAGCAGTATTGAATTGAAAAGGATGTTTATTTCAAGGATTTTGCTGTAACATAAATTTACAACCAAAGAATGACTGCATAACCAACACAACTTCATAGTTTGGATTTTGTGATGCTTCTGTTTGTTCACTGTGTACAGTTTAAGCTTGCTTGTGAAAGCTAGCAAAGTTTGATAATTTTTTACATTTGCTTTTTAAATTTGAGAAGGAATCAGTGAAAACTCTCAGGTAAGCAGAGGTGATGCAAATAATTTAGGTGAAAGGAAAATGATGTACAGTGGTGTTGGATCAACAACTTGATGGAAGTTAAACTTTTGTACATTCTTAAGACTGTTGTCTCTTTATTCATGATATTATACAGTGAAATCTGAAATTTTAAGAATTTAGAGTAAAGTTTGCAAAATGGAAAAAACTAACTTTTGAAATTTCTGCCAGTAAACTTAAGTGTAATATGGTGATAATCATCTTTACAGAAATTATTTTAGTGAAATTATTTTCTTTGAAAT